GAGGCCGGCTTCTTGGCGGGGGGGACGGAGGAGTGACGACGTCACCATAGGAAGGGCCGGGACAGGTCTGATAAATCGCTGACCGACACTTTCGAACCGCCGCTCTCGCCGCCACTGCGGTATTAGACCAGAGCAATCGGGAGCCGATCCCAAGCGTTCATCGATCGAGCAGCTCAGGCTGGGCTGTAGGGGCGTGGCAGGGGGGGGTCCCTCTCTTACCGCAGATGGGAGTTGGTCCTGTTAGCGCCCTGTGCAGCCTTGCTGCAGGCTGAGCCCAGCATAGGACCCATCTATGCAGCGCCCTGGTCACGGGGCGTAAGATGCTATCACAAGTCCAGGCATAAAGTGTGAAGGGGGAGATTGGCTTGCTTGGGCTCCAGCAGTTCCTGCCACCATGTCCCACCTCCTCTGCACTGTCACCTCCTTCCTTGCCTGCCTCCTCCGGCCGGTCCTTGCTTTTGCAACACGCTCACCACTCAAAAAACAGAGCATCTCTCTTCTCCACTTGCCTCAGTTGCCTCTACTAATCCACAGGCAGGCCAAGCTGCCAGGTTACTTCCAGCCTCGTAAGGATTTCTGTGCATGGAGGCCCCCGTGCCTGCATAAAGCCCCATTGCAACCTCTCTGCCAGGGAGAGATTCATTCACTTGACGATGACGGTATAAAGAGTGGCAGAAGGGGTACAAGCAGTGGTGGGTGAAAGAACAGAGCCACAACCAGTATCAGAGTAGCAAGGACCCCTTGTGCTACTTCCAGGAGTCTGTGGGCACGTCTACATGTTCATTAAGGCACCCTAGTTACTGTGCATTAAGAATAACCAAGCACTAAATCAATGCGCAGTAACTTGTGCTACTGTGCAGTAGCACCGATGCAGACTTTTCCAGTGACACTAACTGCGCAGTAGCCTAATAACACTGCACAGTAGCAGGACAGGCAAAAACTATGCTAATACAGTGGTGTTAGATTACTAAGCACAGTGTCACTCATAAACCACGCACCGACGCTACTGCCCGTTGATTATCCAAGTACTAAATTTAATGCACATTAACTACAGGGGTGTTGGTTGTAGCCACGTCAGACAAGGTTCTTTGGGTGAATCTGGTATCTTTTATTAGACCAACTTAAATCATTTGCTTCAGTGCGTTAACGAACATGTAGACCCACCCAATGACTCCTGGAAGTAGCACGGGGTACCTTGAGAGTGAAAAAGATGTTGCTCTCAAGGGAACGGGGGGCTAAGTGTCTGGCCTGGCTGGATTTGGGCCGGGTCTCTCTCCTGTACAATAACAGCTCATGTACAGCCCATCAGTTTGGAGCCTGGCTTATGGTTTTCAGTGCACAATCCTTGCTTTCCTGTTACATCTTCCATCTGCTTCTTCGGGAACCCGCTGACTCCTGCACGCTAAGGCTGTAAGTCCATCGAGGAGTGCTAGGGCTGAGGACCATCCTAATCTGACCTTCATTTAGGGCTCTGTACTGGATGCGGGATATGATTTTACACATCAGCGAGGACACCTGCCCCGCTCCTGCAAGTCTCTCCCTTGAGGATGTGCAAGTCATGAAGGACAAGCGTTCATTGCGCCCGCACTGCCGGGGCCGGAACCTTCCTGCCGCCGCCGCCT